CATCAAAAAGATAAGTGGGACGCCAGTTTTAGCCTTTAAATATACATGAAAATTGCTTTGGAAAGAGAATAAATTCAGAAGTCAGCTCATGTAACAMCCACAAACAGAATCAAATTAAAAACACCGCCACTTCTCATGTCAGCCTTTTAAACTGAGTTCATTACATGTTGAAAACTGTGAGTTTTAGCTGTTTTGTGTGATCATTTGCAACATCACGCAATCTGTTAGAGCTCAGAGTATGTGATGTAGATGACTCTCAGGTACTACCACATCCAGTGTTGTATAAAGTACCTCAAGGAATACTTGGGTAAAAGTAAACGAATCTTACCATAAAATTACTTTGGTAAAACTTCAAGTCTTCTCTAAGAATATTACTTGTGTAAAAACAATAGTCTCAAAGTATTTGACAATTATAATCATTTATTATAAAAAGATTACTAATAATTTGTGACATAGGTCCAGTAGGACTTGCTGTAGGACAAATAGTTGCTTTGTCAGCTGACACGTCGGACATGTTTGGACTCCATCTTTGCTCCATCACAATGTCACAGATGCTGGCGCTTGATGACATAGGCTAGGATAACTAGCTGGCTATAGCCTGTAACTATGTAGGCTGTGTCCAAATTCAGAGGCTGCATCCTTCTAAGGACCCAGTCTACATGTGCTGCATCCTTTATTGACCACAAAGACCAGAAGTCAGTGACCGTGAATTTGGAGGGTCTAGCCTTCAGTTAGCATAACGTCCTGTTGCCAAACAACTGTGACAGCACTAAGTAGAAGCAATGAAGATCAAAAATATTAATAGGTTGATATTATTCATGTTTTAAATGAACACAAATAGCTTAGCAGCATTTCAAGAAAACCCAAGGGACCTGCCATACGAGCTTGTTTAATTACTGACAGGAATTATATTAAAACACATCTATTAGGGCTGCACGATATTAGAAAATCTTGCAATGGCGAAAATATTGGTAAATATTGGGATGACAATATCAGGTGTGATATTCCTTTTTATTTCTTTCCTCGCTTTCTAATTTTCCTACTTATTATGTGACCTTTAGTAATTTTGGCTGTCATTTGTGTCTGGTCTGGTGTGAGCTTTTGCAGCTGTGAGACTCGGTCCTACTGACTAAATATTGCATTAGCATCAAGTATACAACTTCAAAACTCTTCAAATACATTCATCAACAATTATTGCACTCCAAGCAACCCTTTGCGATATGAATATTGTGCACACATTGATATTGTGATGACAATATACTCACGATATGTTGTGCAGCCCTATTGTCTATGCAAACAACAAAAACCAACCAACACAACCYCTTTAGACTTTCAATTTTTGTATCGCCAGATTTTTATTTATTCAGTCTCTCGCTTCGTCCATTACAACAAAAAAAAAACATCTCCAGTCAGCCCACAATGCATCTTGGGATAGGGTGGGCTGAGAAGGATGCATCGGACTCTTCCCTCAAATCAGAGGAAAAGGAGGACGCATTTGGGGGCCGCAATTTGATAGGCCTTCAAATTTGAACAGACTCTGGCACATCACTGCGAAGTAATCGGCCTTCAAAGGATATAGCCTTTGAATTTGGACACAGCTGTGGTGTTTGCTGAGACTAATTAGCTGTGGTGGCCATCTTGAATCAAATTGGCTTATGAGACAGTTGAACACAAGCACATAGTTACAGGCAATTAAATGATCACTCACTGTCTGCCATCGGGCATCAACTATATTTTATGAGACGCATTAATTACCTGTGAGAGTACAGCTCAAATGTCGAGTTGAAGAAGTCAAATCTGGCAACAAAATCAGCAACAGGAGCACTCTCGGCGGTCCTCTGCAGCAGAATATTAAGGATGCAGCGAGTTAATCATCACCGGACTTTAATATTTAAAACCATCTTTAAAGATTCAGACAAGCGGCTGACCTTCAGTTTGGGCAGGAAAGTGATCTGAGTGGATCCTCCCCCCAAATCCAATATRCCCACCGTCTTCTTGGCGTCTGCATTCAGATGACCTGAAAACATTTCCCACCTTAATCCAGCTACAGCCGATGAGACAAGCTAATCGGTTCCACCTGAGGTGCRATCTTCAAAAAATAAACAACTAAATAAAAAGAGCTTCTTGGGAAATATGTTACCAACTAAAGAAGCAGAATTTTTTTTTAGCTCAGTTTGAGCAAGATCACAGCAACGGCCTTAGGCCAAGAGTTTGTAGTTTGCACTCATACATGACGGGGGGAAAAAAATCAGAAAAACACAAGCCTTCTCTATCATCAGGTGCGTGTATGTTGTGTGTGATTTCACTTGCCTGTCAGGAAGTTCAAAGAAAGCCAAGCCAGGATGCCTAAATTTGCAAAATTACAAGCAAAGAATCAGAAAACAGTCATTTCAGCAAGAGCAATCTTGAAATACAAGCACACACAAGGAAAACTGAAACGCTGACAAATCAGTTACACTAAAGCACAACAGGACAGAGTTTTTTTTATTGTTTTTTAAACCCCATAATTATTGGCTTTTGGGTTTCAAATGTGTTTGTGGTAAAAGGGTATCATCAGAAAACAGTTCTAATGGGCTGTAATTTCGTCTAAACGCCTTGATTAAGCAGAGTTTCGCATCAACTACAACGAGGATCACAACACTACTAAAACACCTGGGATGAGTGACGAATGTGCTGCTCGTCGGGACAGGAGGCAGGGCAGACGTTACCTTCGTTTGTGCCGTCCATTATGCTGACGCTGTTGTCTGGGACCAAAAAGGGAGATTCATCAAACACATGTTGAACCTGAGGAGAGGAGGGGAGCGAGGTGAGGCYGAGGAAAATGAGCCCTCTTAATGGGAGCTCCAGAGGTGTCCCCCCCCCCACTGCTGGATGGGATTAATTAATTCCCACAGGAGGGATTAACAAAGTATCATTTACCTTCCAAGGTGCCCCCAGGCCAACGCGTTTTTTTCATACACTTTTATAAATGATAAACTCTGAGCTCACAACACGTCTCTTTGCTATCTGCAGTGAAAAATCACTTTTTTTCTGCCAGCTGCTTCCCCAGATAAAAGACTGCACTTTCCTGTGAACGTGTCAGACGATGTAAAGCCTAACAACGCCCTTTATGATGAAGGGATACTGTGCACTCTGCTTTGCTGAATCTTGTTAAAACGGCCCCCGGAGGACCTTGTCTCAGTGCACTTCCTGACCTGATCCAGGAGAGTCTGGGCTTTCTCTGCAGGCAGGAGGCGAAGTCCAGCTGTGGCCCTGAGGACCAGCGGAGTCCTCTTCCAGTCCAGACGAGGAACCGTCTTCTTTGCCACCTTCAACAGCAGCGCCACTGTTTGTCCGGCCTATAAGAAAACAAACAGCATGCGCTACAAAACAAGCACTCTTCGAACAAATAAAAAACAGATAAACGCCTAATGTTATGGTAATTTTATCCGCTTGAATGTCCGCCTGATTGTCAGTTCAATTCTCTCTCCTTTTATTTATTTTCATCAGTAATGCGATCCCTGCGGAGCGCGGGCTATCGACAGTGTTTCTGGCCACAATGCAGAGCCGGCGGACCTTTCCCCCACTTGGCTCGATAAAATTGATTATGTTTGACAATGAACTCACCATTTCAGGGGAGTCAGCATATGCTGACAAGCCGGGCTTTATGGAATGGAACATCTCATTGTCCAAAACCGGCAGCTGCTCTGAAACGTACATCCATCCACATAAAATATGAAGCAGCCATTAAAAGCAAAAAACTGTCTAAACCCGCTTAACATAGATGCATAATTTATCTGAAAGAGGAAGTGAAATGTGACTTATGACCCCCGAAGTGACAACATAGAACTGTATGGCTCAAAACAGTATATTAATTTATATTCAATCAATTCAATGCATTGATTTGGATGTTTTTTTTTTTAAATATAGTTACGTGTCTAGACTTAAAAGAAGTGCACTGGGAACAAAGAAATGCTTTCTGTTTTTTTTTTCACCTGAGTCACTCTGAATGAAGGTGTAGACGTGGATCCGCGTCCCGGTGCTCCCTGCGTCAAACATCACCGCATAGAAGATGCGGCTGTGGTTGGCTGGTCGGCTGAGACTGGGAAGGATCATGGACAGATCCAGGAGCGAGGTCTCGACTTGGGCTCGGGTCAGTCCCGACACGGTGAGCAGGACCAGGCGGAGGAGGAGAGGGACGTTTGGTTTCATCTTCCCTCTGAAGTGTGAAAAACAAAACAGGATTTTCTTGTTTTAAACGCAGGATTGTTCTGAAGTGTTCAAAACCAGCCCTAACAGAAGATCACTACTGAAAGTTGTTAAATTACAATGTGACGGGTTATTTTACACCATCAAATCTGACCACACCCCACCTCTGTTCAGCCAACCACAGTGAAGTTAAAACATATTATAATTACACAATGAGTGCCCAAAAAAAACCTGATAGAAATGTTAAAACTGTATGTGACTCCTAAGGAATGCAGCAAGACTTCACAGTAAACATGTTTTCTGATAATTTTTGCATTTCTTTATTATTGGGAGATGTTTCAGAGGCATCTAGGAAGAAAAGGTGTAGCTGTAGATTCATGCTCAGGTAGAACAAATGTTGCTCTTTGATGGTTAATCATGCATCTTAGTTTATCTTCTGGGGGTCTTATTTACAATCAATGTAAAGAAGTCTATTTCACTGTAATATTAAAATATTCTGTATTAGCAAATCATTTTTTACAAAACTGTTAATAATGACATGTTATGTTTATCTATAATGCTAATAGTTATGAAGTTTTTCCTGAAACAATATCAATATGTTGCACCAGTTAACTATTCTACTGTGACTTCAACCATAACTTATTAGTTAGCCCAACACGGTTAGTTTGAGCTGACAATTGTTTTATTTTATTTTTATTTCCACTAAGACGTCCGTTCATAATGTTAACACTCTGTTTACATACAATAAACCTGGTTTTGTGAAATGAGTTAATTACACGGGCTGCTACGATATGTGCTAGCTTTGATTAGCATGAATGCTACATTACAGCAGGGTGAAGCTAACATAAAGCTGACAGCGGCCGCTTGATAACGAGTGGACTTTAGGAATAAAAACATTTTTAATTTACTTTATAAGTACACTGAACTGAACCCGGTGTTACATTAGTGGAGTGAAAACTTAGCATTAAAACCCGTAYAAGCTCACCATGATGTCCGAACTCTATTATTCCAATCGGCTTTATGTATGGCAGGACGTTGTTACATATAATCACACCACCTCTGATTTCATGTTTTGATCAGTAAGAGTTCACAACAAATATAATTACAATCTTCCAAGTCAGAATCGTGGTTAAATATTTCTGAAGTAGTAGTTACTTCTTCAAGTAAAATTGTGTTTAAGGTATTCACAAATGAGATTATTAAAGAAAAA